GGCTGGGCCTGGGGGCCGCGAGCGCGGGGGGGCGGCGGGGGCCTCCCTCTGCTTGCGCCGTTTTATGTGCTACTTTATAAGCGTTCGAAGGGGTTTATACATCCTATAAGATTTCCCGGGCCGTTGTAAAGCGTGTTTACGATAGGAAACCAATTTAGGTGGGCTTAAGGTAGACTTCGAAGAGGACATTAATCGCTGCACAGAGCTATTTCCCAGTTTGGGATGTGTGTACTAGAGACCATGAGGGATAGAGGAGAGATTTCAAGCCAATTTGTGAGTATGGACACTCGAGCATCCTGTTTATAAGGGGCGTGGGGTAAGGTGGGGAGAGTTTGATCCTTGAACTGGACTTTATCCAAGCCTCTGGCTGATGCGCGCTGCCGGATAGAGTCGAGTAGATGCCCGGGTGCGCTCATGTTTCTCTCCCTTCGGGTTCCAGCTCAGAGCCTGCCTCGCGTTCTGCTTCCCCACGTCGGTGCCAGGCTGGGTGTATGTGTGTGTCCGGGTGTGAACACACGTCCACGCCCGCACTCTCTCCTGTGCCCGCCCATATATCATCCCCTGCGACGCAGGCAGGGCCTTTCAGCAGAGGCAGGGGACGTCCCCAAGGGCCGAGGCCTGGCCCTCGCACGGGCCTGGGCGGGAGGGTGGGCGGGGGTTGGCAGGCAGCGGCTTCTCTCACCCCTGGGTCTGTTTGCCTTGCAGTGGCCCCTCAGCGGTCCCGGAAAAAGCGCTGTCCCTACACCAAGTACCAGATCCGCGAACTGGAACGCGAATTTTTCTTTAACGTGTACATAAACAAAGAGAAAAGACTCCAACTCTCTCGGATGCTCAACCTCACTGACCGGCAAGTCAAAATCTGGTTCCAGAATCGCAGGATGAAGGAAAAGAAACTGAACAGAGACCGTCTGCAATATTTCACTGGAAATCCTTTATTTTGAGAGCTCCAGGAAGCATCCCTCTCCCCCGAGCCCCACTCACTCATACTCCTTCCCACCAGCCTGCCTTCGGCAGGCCCAATGTCCTTGGGTTTAATGACGCCTCTTCTCTGTGGAACTCCACCATTCCTTCCCACGGTCAACTCGGGACCTCCCAGCGACCACTGCAGCCTGCGGACGAGGCCGAGGACTTGGCCGAACGGATCCTAATAAGGGGAAAATGGTAAATGCAAAACGTCCCTTTACAATTTTACCGCCAGTGTGCTGTTGTTCTCCTTCCCTCTCTCCAGGTCCCCTGGGGACGCTGTGGGATCTGTAGAGAGTTAGGCCTGGGCTGCAAGGTACTTGTTTTTGTTCTGAGTGTAAGGGACCCTGTCCTTCCCCCTTGGTGAACGCAGATTATTTAAACTCTGGGAAATGTACTCTTGGTCTGTCGTATCAAGGCATGAGTCCCTGTCTTTTGTGTGAATAAATGGTTTCTAGTAAAATGGAGGTTACAGCTTCAATACACTGTATGAATTTTCCTCTTTGAAAAGTTTAGTGTCTGATTAGGATATTTTAGCGTCCCAAATCTTTTCCCCTGTGCAACTGAAAATCAAGTGAAATACTTTTTAATTTTGCTACAGCAAGAGCTGTTCCCTCCCACTCCTTCTAGGCTACATTGGTTTTTAAAATCATTTTAGGGGTGAATTTCTGAATTGAAGATGTGATCCTGGTGCTGTCTTCTCCAGATCATGAAGCTGGGGCAGCAGGAACCTAACAGGCAACACTTGCCTTCCCCCGCCCCCAGTCTAGTGAACTTAGAATTTCTGAAAAAATAAAAATCATTTTATTAAACTGGTTAGAAAATCCAAATGCATTCTAAACAAGGTATCAAGAATCCAATGTATTTTAAAAGAAGAAACCAAAATTAGAACCCTTCATTAAAAAAAAAAAGTTTACTAAAAGGAAGTTACCAGTGGTTTGAGAGGGCTTGGAGTGCTTGCTGGTGTCACAGCAGGTTTGGAGCAGAAAAGATAAACCCCCTTCCAGGAATAGGGTCCAGAGCTTCAACACATTTATCCCCTCAAGTTAAAGAATGTGGTGGGGGCTGCACTGCACTTTATGTTGCAGGGCCAGGCTAGGCTGTTTACAAAACCTTGAACTGTCTAGACAACACCATAAAAGCCAAAGTTCTAAACAGCTTAATTGGGTTATATTATACACCTTCTGGTGGGCCCAAAAGAGATTTCCGCAATGTGCAATAAACTGGAGGAGTGAGAAAAGCTTCTCTTTCTCTGGAAAGAGTAAAATGAATCTTATGACTCTTAACCTCTCATAAGCCCAAAGTATAAATAAATAAATAAATTCGTAAGATAGCACCCCATGCCTTTTCCAAAGAGGCATGCATTTCCAAATGCAAAAATTTTTTTAATTGCCAAAGCTTTCGGAGGGAAGGAAAACCATAAGTGCATAAGTGTATGCCTTTGAACTTCCAAAATGTCAAGGTCATAACCTTTAACCTTTCTGAATAATTGGGCACCTTAAGGTTCTGTGATATTCATCCGCCACCCACTCTCGCACACACATGCTCACACACATCCAGATCCCCACACACATTTATGACCACACAGAATCATATGGGGGCTCACCATAAATCTAAGCAAATTCCTAATTTCAGGATCAATAACCTTAATTTCCCTTCAAACATTTTTGTAATTCAATAGCAATTGACTTTAAAATATTGGTTAGGTTAAAATGTCTAACAGAATGCTTTTAATACAGTTTGGAAATACTGGGATGCTTTTGGGGAGGTCAGAGATAGCAATCCCCTTTGCTCTAATGAAGAACCTCCGTTTTAAAAGCAGACATTTGAAAAAAGAAGTTCTATTTAGACTTACACCTTCATTATATTTAAAATTTTTTCATCCTGTCAAAAACATTATTGCACTTTCTATGATATGGAACAAAAGAAAATATATTTGTATTGTTTTCAAAAGCGTCCAACAATCTGGTGAAAGATGCAATAGAAACAAAACCTACAATTGAATAATTTCGTTCGGAAGGGGATTCCTTTGTTTGCATTTCTGGGCGTCCGTTAAAATGTCACTGCCCTAGTAGTATGGTCGTTCCAGGAGCTTAAAGCTTAAAACTGGTTTATTTCTCTCTCTCTCTCTCTCTCTCTCTCTCTCTCTCTCTCTCTGTCTCTCTCTCTCTTTTATTATTATTATTTTATTTTTTTGTAACTGCGGCTAAATATAGCAAGCTTTTATGTCCACCACCTTAGACAAGAGATACCATTTCCCGTTTGTATGGCCTTGGAGAGCCACACGGGGGCGTGCTCACGTTCCAGAAGCCGCGTTTGGCGCAGAGGCCCCTGTACAATATCTTTCCATTACTGGATTCTAACAGGCTATCTCAGCCTTTTAGAAACAGGCGGCTGCTAAGGTGTATGTTTGCTGTTTGTTTGGTCTAAGCAACCCTGAGGTGTGGGAAGTTATATAAAGACAGAGAAAAAGGAACTACCCAGATTTCTGGAAAAAACCATCTTCTAATCGTTGTCTCCTTAAAGATAAAACTGTTGCAAAGAATACCTTGTTATAACCTGGTGGTGTCGAGGAGAGATTTTTGAAAGACAAATGTGTGCATTTCGAAATAGGTCATGCCACCGCGAGGTAATTAAATTATTAGGGGAAAATCAATATTCTTGTTGGTTTGAGCGCAGAGAGCGATTTGAGGATAGGACAACCCCTTCCAAAAACTGCGGCGGCCTTGAGCGCTCTCCTTGAGCGCTCTCCGAACTCCTGGGATGATTAAAAGGCTTTGTTTAAGACAAATCAGGGC